AAGCCCTATTTACCATTTCACTGTTCAATTTTTGTTATTTAGATTCAACAGTTCAATGATACATCATAAAGTCAAAAGTTGAAAGTAAAGAAATCAAAGAATCCATCAATAGTTTGACTCAAAAGTAGCGACTATACTAATAGTAAGTTTATGTAGAAATGTATGAAAAATTATACCTACCCGGTGAACAATCATTAAAACCGTGCAGAGAGGTGAGTGAAGGGAAAGTCACCATTTTGAATGATTTTCAATTCAATTTTTAATATACTTCATGAAGAACATTCATCATATTGGAGAAACCATTCAGGAGCAATGTTTTCTCTAGCTCATTCGCTAATATAAACGGCGATCTACTCTCCAGAGACTGGATAATAATTATAATTGCTTCATAATTTAAGTTTTCATATTTGGTTTATTTGCGACTTCAATTCTGCAATTCAATATAATAATTATAGAGAAAGGAAGAAAACATTGTGTCCAAGATATCTATTAAAGGAGTAAAAATGAAAGACGGTTATCTATACAACCCCTTGGACCACAAGTGCTTTGAATCAACTCGTTAGTATGTATTTTCTTTATTTTATGGGTGGTAGAGGTAGTTTTACACAAAATAATATCAAGTCAATCGCACAGTCATAATTTTGTCTTGTCCAAAACAAGAAGGAATACAATCCAAGTAACAAAAATGACGCATTTTTTGTCACCCAACTCGAAAAAAATATCAAATAAAAAAAACAGTGTCGCGTTATGGTATTTCTCAAATGTAAACTGCGGCTAAAAAATGTTTGTAATGTTCATCGAGAAATATCAGCAAAATACGATTTGCAATAAAAAAACATATCAAGTTTTTATGAGATTTTTTCCTCGTTTTAAAATTTGTTTTTCTTTCTTACAGTCCCCTTTTCCTCTATTTAACCAACGCCAATGATTACTGATTGATACTAGGTACTAATGATTGTTACTAACTTCTTGAAAATGATGGTTTCAAATTCAATTAAGTCGCTCAAATTATAGGATAACAGCGCCTCCACCATTACCATAAACTTTTTTCAGAAAACCGTTCCAGCCCTCTGCAAAATATTTCGAGTGTTCACCAGATAGGTTATCTATAATAAAATAACTATTTTTGACTCACTTGGTATAGTCGCTATATTTGATCATTAAACAGCCCAAGAAAATTGAATTTAATACATAGGCAGTTCATGAAAATAAAAAACTACTTCAAAAATACTTTCTCGGAGAGATAAGTGTATCACAGAGGAATAATGAATCGTGATGTTCTTGTTAAAAATGGTCTGAAATAGTGTCTCGACTAGCGCCCTGTAGATTGCCATAATTTCCGTGAAACACAGTCAATAAACTCGCTTATTAAAAAATATTACGTAAAGTTGGTAGACCGGAAGTCATTCCTTGAATATTATAACAGGAAGTTCTTGGGAACGCAAAAAATTTACGATCAATAAAAATATCGTGGTCCAAAAAATTATTGAAACTATACCTAGATACCCAATATCGAACGGACTTTGAATATTGATAAATACATCACATGGCCAGACATAGTGAAAAAACGTTTTGCCCACAGTCCCCTCTTATCAGAAATAGTTATATTACATTTTCCTATAGTCTTCCGTAATAATAAATAGTCCATTAAACATCACCAATAGATTTTATGAACAAAAAGTAAAAAAATTTCATGTACAGATTTTTCAAAGTCGATCTGAAAATTATAGATATATTAGATCACATCAATTATGCACAACTTTGAAAACAGTTTTTTGTACAACTGACACTAAAAATCACGTTTTCAGTTCATATGTACGTTGGGTATTAAGATGATGAGTCAAAATATCTTGAAATTAGTGTTATAAATGTTTTTTCCCAGTATTGAAAGTTATTTGTTTTACTAGGCAGCAAAGTAGTAGATTGTTGACTGCCGCGGCTGATAGTCAATCTACTTTTGCTGCAATGTAAAACATAATTTTTTCTCCAAATGTTATAAAACCCCAATTTTAGTAATTTTTTATTGAAAACTCCATCATTTCGTGTTTACTAAATGTTAGTGTTGATTTCGATCACCAATTTCATTCAAATTACTTGGAACGTTGCACAGCACACACTTTTTATGCCTAGGCAGAGAAAGTATACCTTTCCTGCCTGTTGAGTGTTATAGAAAAGCCACTTTCTACGCCGTTTGGGGAAAAAGATTTTTTCGACAGTTTGAACAAATGATAATATCAGTTTCCTGACAAGTGAATTATTAGAAGGTAATGGAAATACAATACTTTGTCAATGAGATTTTACATCTTTAGGAACACCCTGTATATCTGAATTATATGAATTTGATTGGAACCGAGTATCGTATTGTTATTCAACCACCTTTGGACTTTGCCTTCATTTTTCTAGAGACACCTACAAATCAAACATTTAGTAGTTGGACAGTTATTTCTTAACGGATTGTATTTTTAGATACATTCGGTCACATTCAGTATTTTATTACGGAACTTTTTTCGGATGCATATTTAACTACACATGAATTAGCCATAAATTTTGATATCCAAGTGGGTACTGAAATGTCAATAAAAATACATCATAAAACGTGATATTACAACCAAAATACGTTCAGTTTAGTATAGGAAGTGAAACAGTGTTAAACGTCATTGGATACTTCATTAATAAATTTCAATCGGAGTCGAAAATAAATCTAGTGTATTTTTTCAATGCATGATCAAATGGCAAGAAAACCAATATATTTCCTTATTGAAATGTAATGAGAAGAATAATGTTTCAAATAATTCTTCCACTCGCATCTTTTGTTTATAAATTTATTTAAAAAATCTCCACCTAATCGTCGAATTTTATGTAAAAATGACTCCCTTGGACAAACAATATCTCTTATCTAAAAAATGAATGTTGAAAAAAGATAAGGCTAGAGTGATATTTCAATTCTAACTTGATTATGCTACAGGGTATTACAAACTTTATGAAAAAACAGGCTATAATTGCTACAGCCGATATTCATAAAAAATAGGGTTTTATGTGAATTTATTCAACATGTCATTAAAAAAAGTCCAAATCGAACAAGTAGTTTTGACGAAAATATATTTCAATCTTCCGGCAACCTTTTGGTAGTGCCGTATTTTTTTGGGAAGTGTAAGTATATAAAATGGACTATGATTCGAATTCAACTGGTCATTACTGTCAGTAAATCTGTGTTCCGAAATATGAAATCAAAAATACAGTGCAGTATTTCTGAACACATTTTCATAGTTCAGCAGTTATCAGCAGCAGTTGATCAGCTGGTGGAATTTAAATATTCTTCTGAGCGTCAATTATTTTAATAACAGGCAAAAGCCCCCAGATACCAATTTTGAATGGAATCGGATTATAATTACAAAACTCGTCCGCCATATTGGATCCGCCATCTTGAATTTTCCAATTTTGACAAAAGAATCATAATCTCCGACCGCAAAAACCCCCAGATACCAATTTTGAATGAAATCGGATTATAATTACAAACTCGTCAACCATATTGGATCCGCCATCTTGAATGTCTTAATTTTTTCTCTCATAGGAACCTTCTCCTGACAATAACAAACACAACAAGAAAAGATTTAGTGAAATCGGTCAAGCCGTTTACGATTCTATAAATCACATACAGACAAACATTCATTTTTATATACAGTATGATGCAAATGTATGGAATAAATATATTTCAAAACAAGACGACTTTCGAAAAAAAATCAAAAACTAGAGTTTAGAATTTTTTTTTTTTTCGACGTATTTTTTCAAGTAGACGACCCTTCGATGTTCAATTCTCAGTAGCAGACCTCTGCAAGATTCAATCAATAACATGATAATCCATTTTAATTTCAATCTTCTTATGCAACATTTCGACTGTTGAATAGACGATCGGTAGACCTTTCAATCAAGATGTCACATGACCCCTATTTGTATTTGAAAAAATCGTCCATTACGTCTTTAATACAACACCGGTGACGTAACATCTCTCATATGAATATCATGAAATGAGGCTTCAGAAATTAAAACTCACGTGTTTTTGGAGTTTTTTCAAATGTCGCCCATTTCTGAAATAATGAATTTATTCCATACATTTGCATCATACTGCATAAAGAAGATGTATTAATTCATTATTGATAAGACAAGACTTATTGTTTAAACAACAAGGACAATCCTCACGCCTCTAAGATAATGACAGTTCACTGAAACCACACTATCTTTTGATAGCCAGCAATTCCAGCAGAATGTTGAGTCGAAATATTTGGTATGTCTGCACACAAGTATCTGTCAGTTTCAGTACATTTTTTTGATTTCGGAATGAAAAATCAGAAGATTCAGTAGTGTCAGTTGAATTCGGAATATAGCCCTAGTAATAGAATTAAAAATAAAATATCATTGGGATTCGCATCAACTTTACTAAACATATCATGTACAATGTTGCTATTTTTGTGACTGAGACATAATCAAGCGATCAAGAAATATTTCCAGCATGTAAATATCATTTCACGTACCGATCATATCCATGAACGTCTGTCAAACAAAATGTTATTCACACAAATTATATACTTTTTTTTCACTGTTTGCTCGATCGACGATCAAAGATAAATCTATGACGGAAATTGTTTCCTCATTATGTTTGATTTAACAATCCGTCAATCATAGCAGGAACCTGTGATTATTTTCGTTCGGTTCGTTTGCCAATAAAATTTTCGAGTCTGGAAAATCTATAGGAGATCTTTCAAAGGAAATGATGTCATCGTTACTGATTGTGCCTATCATACTTTCACTGGCCTGGAAAGTCAAAGTGTTCCTGTTCCGTTTCAAAGACAAAGAATGACATTGTTACACTATTGAACAAGACTCATTTCAGACCATTTTTAACAAGATTTTCGATTCCTTTCTACAAGAGAAACATAAATTACTTGAAATGCAGTGTACTTGTGTAGTGTTCCTCATTTGACTTTTCGTAATTGAAATAATACCTTTCTCCGTCTAGCGGGCGGTACTATGAAGTAGGTGGTGACGCAGTGATCCCTGAGGTACTGGTTCCTGGCGGTACCATTACCTGGTTCTACCTCGTATTCCCCTCCTAGGTAGTCCAACGTAGCTTGAGTTATATGCACTCTCCTGTAACAATGATTATAGTGAAAGGGAAAGAAGAACTCAAAATCATCTACAAACTTTAACTCTTTCAGGTACAGGAATTTCGAAATATACCACCCCCTAGATGTACAGCTTTATTTTTCTTCAGATTTTCAAGAGATTCATTCACAAACCAACTCCAAATGACTCAAAAGATACGAACAAATATAAAATAATTTCAGAATTTTCCAATTTTCACAAAAAAACGGTGGGTCAAAATCTAACCCACCATTCCATAAGGTGAAAGATTTCATGAGAATCGACTCATTTCAAATCACTGTGAAACGTCTGCAAACATGTTTTGTTCTTTGCAAGACAGAGTGAAACACACAACCAGTTTGTTCCAACTTCAAACTTTCCTGAATTGCAAAGAGCATTATCTCCTTCGACTTGTTCGGATAGGTTGATGAGCACCCTGTGTGACTCTCATTACCGCGCTTTGACTGAGTGTCATTCTCTATTTGACTCGTCCATTCGATTGATGTTCTCGATGAAGATACTGATATTTATTGACGACTAAATGATCAAATCTTTCATTGATAACTTTGAAAGATAAAGAGTATTATGTGAAGAATAAATGAGATGACTACAGCGGCATCCAAGGAAAAGATTTCATGAATATCTGTTCCTTTATATGTCTTTCCAGTCGTCTGATAATTCTGCTTAGTATATAGATTGATCTGGAAAACTATGTGATTCAATAATTTGTCAGTGATGAACTGACGAGAGAGATTATCCATCTTGAGCCACTCCAGAGGTTCTACTGAAATCTTTTGGCTGAACGATCTCATCCACTCCACACAATTTTTTTCTCTATCCCTGGTCTCAACTCCGCGATAAGGGTATCAAATCTTCTGGGTCCCATGTAGGAATTCGACATCATTTTCCTCATCATTATCCTTGAAAAATGTCTTGGTCATGTTGTATGGTGGGACAAATTTCAAACAGCGTAGATATTCACATTTTGTGAACGAAAAATAAACATATAAGTTGGAAAAATATAACAAGTAGGTTACCTATGTTGCCTAGATAGTATATAATGCAACAAAAAATGTAATAACATAATGAGCATGAAATTTGCAGCCGCTATTCGAGAGGAGAAACACAACGTACGGAACAAGTTTTGAGTTTATTCTATTCACCAATAATGAATTGTTTTATTCGCTTCAGCTTAGAACATATGATTCAAAAGACCAATATGAGTGAGTAATATGAGGCGGGAGAGAAAATAAACCGTCGTACCACAAATCATAAGCCCACTGCAGAGCGGGATATATTTTGTCCCAGTATACCTCTAACTCCAAGAAATTCGTGGTTCAAATTCTGCACCAAAGTACTTGAAAGAGTTAATTCATACGGACCCTGTCTCAGTGAAGTTGGCCCAAATATAAAAAAAAAAAAAAATTATCAAATGAATCATAGCGAACAAGTATTAAAGGAGGGGAGGCAAGGAGGCTAAATAGGGATTAACTCGAGCGTCGTGGGGACGTATCAGGTGGGTGGTGGGGGTGGCCGTACGAAGGGATAGAGAATAGATTAAAAAAAATTATTCGAGCGCATCAGATATTGAGAAGGGGCGTTAAGTGTATTCAAAAGACTGACGATTTGGAAGCGACCAAAAGTCATGATCAATGTTTTGAAATTAAAAAAAAAAATCGTGACCTTGAAATTCTCGAGCGCGTCAGATCATTATACAGACGCTTCATCTTAATGTCCTTGTCGTATCGACCCATAATCTGACAATTATGTAGAGGAATTACCTTAATCTGACGGTTGGATTTTTTTTGTCAACTGAATGTAATAACTAAAATATATAATATACAGGGTGGGTCTGTTTTTGTAGCATGACTTCAACAGCTCAAAAGACTCATGTAAACATAAATGGTGGGCCATTAGTTTGCTGTTTAAGATAGATGAACAAAAATTCTTGAGATGATCAAGTCTCATGGGCAGTCGTACATTTCTGAAATATTTTTCTTATAGCACACCTTGTATTTTATTGCATTTTCAGATTCCTCCTTATGAGCTGATTGATAACAAAGTTTTTGTCGTCTCTAAGACTATAATGTCGAAAAGTGTAAAACAGTTTCAAATTTCTTGGAATTTTCGCAATTATGAAACGGTTCCTGTGGGATTTGTTCGGAGTTTTTTTTCATGGTATGCCACAAGGTTTCAATAGGTGATAGATCTTGTATACTCAACGTCCATTCTAAAACTAGAATACTGCTTTCTAACAACCAATCTTTCACTTTTTCAGCCGTATGACAGGCGGCACCATCTTGTTGGAAAATACATGCAATATTGTTTGAACGCAGTTATTTAGTTGTGTGTTGTGTTTCCTGATATCTGCTTAAGTATTCAATCTAGAAAATTCATTCCATATAGTGATTGAAAGGACAATCAGAAATTTCCTTGCAGTTGTCTATCAGAAATAGAGAATTGATACGTAAGTCGAATCTTATATGGTGTCCTGGGATGATTTCATGTTATGAAATATGATGAATTTCAATAATCATTCCAAAAAGTTACAAAGCTCTGAAGATAGAACGGTTTGCGAATTTTGGTTAGTACTTCGAAATAATGAAATACAATTTTTCACTGAAACAGTCTCATTCCATCCAGGATCCACAGATTCCCATTTCTCACGAATATCATCAATAATTATTCTCAAGTACATAATCAAATATCAGAAGTCCTCTCTTAAACGAATTAATACAATGTTGGCACCGTATCAAGTCTGAAGATAAATGAACTAATAGCTATCGATTCGACCTACATTTGTGTTAGTTCGCATAATATATGGGAATGCATAGCAGAGATAATGTGTATCAATCTATGATTAGTCTGTAAATCATGCCAATCACTTCATCGTAAGTGTCATAGCGTAGGAATCGTAGGATGTGGATGGTACTAAATACACTATTTAATAGTGCATAATGGGTTTAGTCACGCAATTACTGATTCGGGAAACGCAATTTGAATCATTTAGATTACTGATTCGGACTAAATGGAACTATGGAAAACCGTTTTGGCACTAGTAATAATTTTATTTTTTTCAGTCGGGATTTTTTCTGGAAATGATTTGTTCCATCTACTACATTCGTTAGCAAAATAATTAGTACAAATCTACCCACCCGTTCTTGAAAAATGAACATAATGACATATAATAATTTTGGAAACTTCACTAATTAGTTGAATTTTGAAAATTCAGAAGAACATTTTGGGTTGGTAGTGGGGTCAGTTGCTCGCCTGAAAACGTTTCTGCTCAATACGTAGGAACTCCCAAGCTGTCGTTCATGACTTCGACGTGGTATCGAAATCAATCTAGCATTCATTTTGAGGCTTTAAGGTGGATGGCGTCGACTCAAGTGTTCTGTATATGTCATCAGGGGTCGTCTTAAGAAAAATAATATCAAAATTGAGTGGTGATATTAATTTTTTCGGTTTATTCTTGCCAATCCCAGGAGATATGAATTGCTTGTTCTTTGGTGTAAGAATTCCACGAGTGATAATACTGGAGACGTTTCAGTTCATCAGTGAGTTTGTGGGTAATGAATAATTTGTTATTTTAATTTGCTTTCATCAGTTAAGCAAGTATTCAAATCAAATGGAATCATGCATGTTTTGTATATTCATTCAGCTGTGAAAAATTCGAGTTTAGGCGTGAGGTGCCATACCTGCTCATCTATTTTACTATTTTGGATAGAAAGTTTCCTCATTCAATATTGATTCTAGACTAACATGAAGTTGCTTCCAACAAATCGTTGATATGGACTAGAAATAGTGTTGCGGAAACATGAAAATGTACCAAAATTGCCTTGAATTCAAAATGTAGTACCACCGTACCAAACGGAATGAAATGTACCGCATTTGGTACAAATGTACTACCGCGGTAACACTGCGAAAGACTGACCAGTGATGACCCTAGCACCGCCTTATATACTCGACTCACCCGGGCTCCCCACCAGCCTCCATGTTATTGGCCAGCGTGACGTCGTTCGACCACACGTCGTACTGCCATTTGCGCAGCCCGAGCACCCCGCACAGCACCCTGCCCGAATGGATGCCGACGCGCATGTTCAGCTGCACGTCGGTCGCCTCGACGACGCTCGCTATAGCGTCGATCATGTCGAGGCCCATCTCTACAGCGCAATGGGCGTGGTCGGAGCGAGGTTCCGGCAGCCCGGACACGCAGTAGTAGCAGTCGCCGAGGATTTTGATCCGGAGGCAGTGGTTATCCTGGAAAGAAAAATTATATTGAATTTCAATCATTTTGACGTTTTCAAATGGGTAGTAGATAAGCTATGGGTATTCTGTACCAAAATCCCATGTATTTATGAAGGTTCAGTCAAGTCAAAATTGAATATGCCATGGGCGTGATAAGGAACACTGAATTTGGGGAGATAGGTGTAACGTGTCCATCACTAGGTTAACCGGTTTTATACTTCAATGAGCCATGTTTTTATATTTTTCTTCATGAACCGGACACAGTAGTAGCATTCGCCGAGGATTTTGATCTGGAGACAGTGATTATCCTGAAGATAAAAACATAACTTTAAATTTTAATCATTTCGACGTTTTCAAATGGGTAGTAGATGAGCTATGGAGATTCTGGATCAAAATCCCAGTTAGGTCAAAATTGAATATTCCATGCGCATAAGTTTTGTAGAAGGCGTAGCTAAAGTGGAACAAGGTCATGTTTAGGCGTGATTAGGAACACTAAATTTGGGGAGACAGGTGCAACGTGTCCATCACTAGGTCAAACGGTTTATACTTCATTGAGTCATGTTTAAATATTTTTCTTCATGAATTGGACACGAAAAGTAGCAGTCGCCGAGGATTTCGATCAGGAGGCAGTGATTATTCTGAATAAAAAAACTACATTGAATTTTAATCATTTTGACGATTTCAGAAGGGTAGTAGATGAGCTATGAGGATTCTGAACCAAAATCCCATGTATTTATGAAGGTTCAGTAAGGTCAAAAACGAATATTCCGTGTGCATATGTTTTGTAAAAGGCGTAGCCAAAGTGGAATAAGGTCATGTTTGGGCGTGATTAGGAACACTAAATTTGGAGAGAAAGGTGTAACGTGTCCTTCACTAGGTCAGGTCAGGTTAGGTTTTATACTTCAATGAGTCATGTTTCAATATTTTTCTTCATAAACTGGACACAGTAGTAGCAGTCGCCGAGGATTTTGATCCGTGGACAGTGGTTATCCTAAGAATAAAAAAAATACATTGAATTTCAAATGGGTAGTATTTCAAATGGGTAGTAGATAAGGTATGGGGATTCTGGACCAAAATTACATGTATTTATGAAGGTTCAGTAAGGTCAAAATTGAAATTTCCGTGGGTGAGAAGCCAAAGTGGCATATGTTTTGTAAAAGGCGTAGCCAAAGTGGAACAAGGTCATGTATGGGCGTGATTAGGAACACTAAATTTGGAGAGAAAGGTGTAACGTGTCCTTCACTAGGTCAACTGCTTTTATACTTCAATGAGTCATGTGTAAATAATAATATTTTTTTTCATGAACCAGACACAGAAGTAGCAGTCGCCGAGGATTGTGATCCAGAGGCAGTGGTTATCCTGCAGATAAAAAAAATTACATTGAATTTCAATCAATTTGACATTTTCAAATGAGATTTCGAAAATTGCTTGGAGTTTATCAATTCATCATCAAAAAGAACAGTCTGGAAACGAAAAGTGAAATAATCAGGTCATGAAATGCATGACGTCCACTAGGTTGGACAGATAGTTTTTCCGATTATGACTCAGGTACAGTGAAATATTTTGATACTATATATTCAAATTGCTAATTATAGGTCACGATAATCATGATGTCGATTTATTGATTTTTTTCTAGGGCCTCCAACAATTTTTCTGACAGGAACAACATTGAAGTCTTCAGCAACCATTTTGAATTAGTGCAAATATGATTCAACAAATAGAATACGCCCCTGATTTTATTCGCAGAAGGTTTTTGTTAAAACATGGAATATATAAAATACTTTCATATATTCACATTAACAAAAATACACTCAACAAACATTCAGACCTCCATAACTACAATACAAGGAACAATTCTAATAAAAGACTCAAGAAACCGCGTTACTCTAATTATGAAAAATCACAAATATATGCTGGTAGTGATCTTTATAATGCCCTACCTACTGATCTCGAGCAGTTGAGAGATATCGAATTCAAGAGAAATCTTAAAAAAGAAGAATTTGTGGATTATTTGACAAATATTGATATGATTTGATATTCATGATATTTATGATTATTTTTTATGACTTGTACAAATTAGTTATGTTATGTCCTCGACTTCGGCTGTATGAATATTATGTATACGCTCTATTCATCTTATTTTTTATTATTTGTTTGTTACTCATTGGTATGTGTATGTTAGTACGTAATTTTTTGACGAATCCAATCTATTGTATAATAGCTTATGAAGTAATAAAAATGAAGATGATGATGATTTCCATTGCTTACAACTACTTATTCCTCCTGTCCACTCTAGTGGGCATTATGCTCTCATGCATAATTTCATAAATGTTATTGAGTCGCCAACAGAAATTATTTTGAAGAAGTTATTTTCTTTTCTTTTAGAGTTTATAAATTCTTGGTAATACTTTGAAACGATGATCTATTATTTCTCCATCAGTTTAGCACCGCTACTTCTAGCTACGCCACTGGTTATACTGTGGTCATTTAAATCTGTATTCTATGCACTAATTATTCGCCATTTTAGATGAATTCATCGTTCTCATCACCATCAACTTGAACTTCATTTATATCTTGGATCTCATTCTGGAAAACAATGTTCACGCAGTGTAGATGAATTGATATAATTTTCGCGATGGAAATGATGTTAATTTCACCGAATAGTTCCTGCTCACGCTATCGCACTATAAAGGATAAAGCGACTTAATGCCAAGTTTAACCTTCGTTATGTGAAGAAACCATTGAAATTCCTCTGATCGAAATCTAATTTGCTTTCTAAAATTAGATGAAATTACACATACAAGGTTCGAGCAACCCTTGAAGTGGATTCCGAAAGGATTCGAGAATGAAAATAGCATATTGTTCAATAAACACGGAATGATAGTCATTAGTATCAACTGTTTTTCTTTCAACATTCTCTTTGGAAAAAATAAAAATAAACGTGAAGGCATAAAAGAGAACATTCTGTAGAAAATCCTGATACTTAATGTCTTCTTGAATTCAGGCAGTTACTCGATGGAAATCCAAGGCAAATGTAAAAACTTCACAAACGATAAGATTTCCACAAAATTTTCAAACACACAACATGTTTCGCTAACACAGTAGCTTCATCAGGTGATATACTGGTACAATGAACTAAACCGTTACTCCCGACATAACACAAGGGGGGTAACGACTAAACCAACGTTGGCTTGCTTAACTTTTATATATCCTACTTTCCCAACTTGAAGGATTAGTTACCTGTGGACAGGTTCGATAAATCTTCATTACCGGATTAACTTGAAAGAGTTGATATGAAATACTTATTATTACTTACTATAAGAAAACAAATTCAATAGTGGTGAACTATTAAGGTCTAATTGATCATTAAGTAAGATGTCAATATTTTTGAGTTTGTTGACTTCTAATAATGCAGAATGATTGGGTTTCATTCCTTTATTTTCTACGTGTAGAATTTCGAAATTATTGTAAAAATATAGTTTTCTTCTAATATATGGTTGGCGTATGTTGAATTTGTTTTCTTTTTCAGAAAATTCATCATACGTTCATGAATGCGCTGATTAAACATACGACCTGTCTGACCGATATATACATCGTGATATTGCTTATGAAAATATTTCAATGAGGTTGAAAGTTATGTCAACTAAGTACAGGATAATGACTGGTTGAGTGGTGATAATTGTTTCCATCGAGCAAGGGATACTGACTCATTTTTTTCAATTCAGCGAGATAATTCAGAGATTTTTTTATTCACTAAAATGTTTGCACCTCATCGGAAATCCGAATCAACAATTATCACTCATAACAGCAAATAAGTTACTCATCTGTCTAATTGTAAATAATTTGTTATGCGTTATTTCGTTGATATTGTCAAATTGCTGAAGGCCCCATTTTTATATTTCAGGAAAATTTGTCTCGTTCAGGTATATTTTATGTATGATATCGACTATTATACTGAAACTGCTGTTTGAAAATTTACCTAAAAATATAAACTTAAGAGGAATTATTCCAAGAATTATTATTAATATTGTCACAATGGCGCAGTCAGTGGAAGGAGGAGATTTAACAGTTCGAGAGTTGAAAACATATCTAAAATGTTATAAAGATTTTCCAGGGGGGTTGAAGAGATGTTTGGATAGGGAACTCGGAATCGACCTATCCTCCAAAGAAACCCATAAAACATCAGAAAAGCAACTTCAATATAAGAGAAAAGTGCAGGAACAAGCCAATGCATATTTCTAATATACGACAGTTTCATCACAGGAGTGATGATTTTTTTGGAGGAGGAGTTTTTTAGGAATACAAAATATTGTGTCATGGTAATTTGAAATAATAATAATATATAGAACTGATTGTTCTAATCTAATTTGAAGTACCTAGTAATATAAACCAAAGAGGAATTATTCTACGAGTTATTAGTAATGTTGTTACATATTTTTTTTTCTCAATTACAAGTACTGGCGCAATACTGATGTGGTTACAGGAAGTTTCTAAGTAAATAGTTATTTAATATACAAGAGAAAAAAGTAGTAGATTTTAGCGCCAGGTTGTGTTACTTCGAAATCTGAAAATTATCGACGTGAAATTTCAAGTTAACAGTAGGGACACCTGCGTTTTCTAGGCATCTTTATCATTCTTTTGAAGTAATCAAATATCTGATGTCACTTCTTTCAGTTCAATTCTGTGATTTGATTTTAAAAAATTGCGAATTCAGTAGTTGTTTAGTAATATACGAAACCACGAAGTCGAATGGAAGATAAAAGGACTTGCAGTTCTTTCTCGGAGACGGTATTATTAATTCATTTTTCGGAACTATAGCACAACAAAAGCCATTAACAGAGTATATATATGTGATATATATCCGGGAAAAAAGTACTCACTTTTTTCCCACGGGAAAAAAGTAATTTATGGAAAGTGACATTTTATAACCTGCCAACAGAGATGAAATGCCAAACTTTTTTCCCGTCACAGAAAAAAACAATTTTTTGTAGAATTGCCACCGCCCCTGCCTCCCTAAACGACGCCCATGAAACACCCTGTATGAATGTATCATTCATCGACATTGTAAATTGATCTCACAAATTGGCTACAATTTGCATTGAAATTGTTATTTCATTTCGAGATGTCAGCCCAGGGTGCCTTCGAAAATGAAAAGAATGAAAGGATCTCTTCCTTTGATATCAGATTTTCCCAAGGATAAAGAGACAGCTCCTGAAAATACGGACACGGCTCCTTATGAAAATAGAGCCTCGAACGGATTTATGGTTCACAAAGAAAAAATATTTCACCTCATCTGCAACCATGTCAGGAAATAATTATCCATTTTTGAGCTGCGAGCTATGAGGTTGAAATATGATCCTTTGAATTGTTCTCGAAAATGCAATTCCTTTTCATAAGAAGTTGAAACAATGAGGGTGCCTATCCAATTAGAATATAAGAAACTATCAAAAAGGAGAAAGAAGCGTGATGAAATTAATTCAAATTAAATAATCTCCATTATATTGTACGAACAGCAGTTTTTATTTAAGGAGCATATAGTATATTATTCAACAAGCATATAATAGATCATTATATGCGAGTAGAATACTACATTTTGTCCACGACTACTATTGTCTTTGAGGTATAAATTTTTTTTCAACCTACAGAGAGTATTGTTTTATCATGACTCATTTGAAATTGAGAGAACTGAAAATTGAAGATACCTGTTTTATTAATTATTTGTCCACGACTGTTGTACTTCCTCAAGCAAAACGATAGACATTTTTCACATCAGTGAATAATAGCGGTGAATAACCATTATTCACTGGTCTAAAGTTCCTTATATGTTATGTCGCGTACCCTAGGAACTCTAGACCAGTGAATTATGGTTATTCACTGGTGTGAAAAATGGCTACCATTTTGCTTGAGGAAGTACATGTATTATGAATATTTTATATACATATATCTATTGAACACAGGATAAGGATTTGAAAACAAAATCTTCTGAAGTTGGGAATTTGCATCATATTTCAGATAAAAGTTATTTTTGTATCTAGAGCGCGAAATGCTACTTTGGTGATCGAGATCTGATTTTTTAACGAGGCGTACCCGAGTTAAAAAAATTGTCGAGATGACCAAAGTATTTTGCGCTCGAGTTGCAAACAACATTTTTTCTACAAACGTCAAAAAATATAGTTCTTAAGTAAAAATATGCTTAGCTTGATATGAAAAATAGTGTTGAACTGGCTTGAAAGGCCTCCCCCTATTCTCCCTAGGAACGCACGATGTTCCACGAACATAATAGGAATTTCCTTTCGTGCGCTCCAAGAGATAAAACAAAGTTATTGTTGAACATTCAGAAATAAATGATTTCGTGGATGACCATGAAGTTGAAATATAAATATCTTATATATTTTACATAATAATGCGCGAAGTAGGTATTATGACACTGACATACATCTTTGAATGAAGAAAATTGCTGTTTATCACTTACATTAGCCAGTTGGTCAAATCGCCCGAAAAGTTCGTTCAGCAACCTCACCAATTCTTGGGCAGTACATTGCGAAGCCAGCACAGTGAATCCAACAATATCGGCGAACAATATGCTGAAACAAGGAAACACATATGAAAAATAAAAGAAAAAATCCATGTGATGCTAATCAAATGTTTGGACAATATGAAACAAATCTCTTTTTGTACGGCTATAACATAAGATTGCTCTTGTTATACGACGCTATACATAGTGGAGTATACTACGACCTTGCCAAAAATGCTATCTCGGAAACTAAGCGAGATAGAGGTATAGTTGCTTTGTAGAAAATGATCCCCATCGAATTTTGAGCAACTTTGGTTTTTGTGTTTGGTCTGTCTGTCTGTCTGTCTGTACTCTGTGTTAATCATAAATCGATATATCTCCGGAACCCTTTGACATATCGACTTGAAATTTTGCCATCTTATTGTACTCAAAACAATATTATGTCATTGAAATATGAAGGAAATAAGAAAACTCTAAGGTAGTTTTTCCGGGTTTTTTCGATTTTTCACCGGAAGTTTCTTGTGACCACTCTACAAATCCCAAAAGTGGTCCGATCGATTTAATTTTTTGTGAAAAAAAAAAAACTCTATCAGAGAGAGACGAAGCGAAGCCTATTGAAATTGAACAGGGTCAGGAAATTCCAAGTGGGTTTTTCAAGGAGATTTTCCGAAACACACGGTTCGCTTTAAAACGACATATCTCTTGAACCAATAGACTAAATCCAAATTTGAAAAATGCACCGTATGCCTCTTTGATGACGCAACAAAATATTATATTACCGTTTTTTCGTGCATCCATCGGAAAATGGAGAAAAAAAATGAAAATCAAAACATCAAAATTTGAAATCCTTTCAATTCAATATATATCGAAAACAAATGAAAAAATCGAAAATTATCAGAAGTGCAAAGTTATCCACTGGAACATTTTCTACAAATTATTACCCATAATTTTTTCTGTAAACCCAATAGTACAGAAAATAAAGTAAAAAATATGAAAAAAAAAATTTGAACGACCCATAGGGTACCATGAAGATATATTGAAAAACAAAAGATTATCGATACATGAAGATAATCGACTTCCACTGAACCATGAAATATTTTTTCCTTTTGTTGATTGGAAGATGGAACAAGAGTTCAATAGTTCGGGAGATACGATGAAAAAACTAAAGAATTTACAAGTTCCTAGATAATCACTTGCCAATAGAAAACAAAACAAAAAACAAAAGAAAGTAAAAAAAGCACACTCGACTGTCTTGATTTTTTTCCACAAACTACGTACCTAGCTTACTCAACTATCTTGATTTTTTCCCACAAACTACGTACCTAGCTTACTCGACTGTCTTGATTTTTTCCCACAAACTACGTACCTAGCTCACTCGACTGTCTTGATTTCCCACAAAGAAGAAATATGTTGGCATTGTTTAACTTTCTTTTGTTTTTGTTTTTTTAGTCCCTATTGGCAGTCGAGTGGGCTAGGTACGTAGTTTGTGTGGAAAAACCAAGACAGTCGAGTGGGCTAAGTACGTAGTTTGTGGGAAAAATCTCCAGTTCTCTGAACTTTCATAGCGTCGTATACACATCTTTGGTGTCCAATGATAGTTTTAATATAAAAATATGCTCATGATATGGTGCCTCTTCTTCCATCTTACATGAGCAATGATAAAATATCATCTGCTTTTATAGTTTCGTATAAATTATCTGATCACTATACTAATCTAATACCTAATGAAAACTACATCTATACTAATCTGATACCTTTCAAAAACTACGTACCGCACTTGTTTTACTGTGTTCGATACATCAATGAGGTACTTTGTATGTCATCAAGTTTATTTCTGTATCTGATATCACAATTCGCCTATGGCTCATGATGCAAACTTCATTCTCGTAGGGAATCATTATCATTCCGTGCTCGTTAAACAATATACTATTTCATCTCAACTACAACTAGCCATATGAATCGATAATAAAAACAAAAAGTCATTAAATCTCAATGACAACGTCCCCTGAGTCTATGTCATAAATCCCAGCAAAATAATTGTCGATATTCCATTTCTATCTCACTATAGGTACAGATTCCCGCTTCTGCTTTGAGGCAACAACAGAGCATCGCGGCTTGTCACAACATCCTTTGATCAGCTAATCCGGAATTGATCTGTGTCTCTCTTCGCCTATTGTTTTCATATCATAATCGCGTTCATCAAGAACGACTGGGTTGATTGAGATCGAATAAGCGTGTTTCCTTGTTGCTCGTTTGTTTCACGCTGGTGGCTCACGACTTGCTCGAATATACGCAAATTGGGTGAAGCAGGAAGGCAAAATATTCGGAAATTTTTGAGAAGATTCCATTATAGCGGAGAACTTTTGTAATTTTGATCACATTCTATCCAAAATTGGTATCTGGGGGTTTTCCGAGTCGGAGATTCTGATTCTTTCGACAAAATTTGGAAATTCGAGATGGCGGATCAAATATAACGGACAAGTTTTGTAATTATGATCTGATTCCATTCAAAATCTGTCACTGGGGGTATACGGGGTCGGAGATTATGATTTTTTCATCAAAATAGGAAAATTCAAGTAGGATGATCCACTTATATGGCGAAATAGTTTGTAATTATGATCTGATTCTATTTAAAATTGGCGTCTTGGTGTCTTCGGGGACCAAGATTATGATTTTTTTTTGTCAAAATTGGGGAATTCGAGATGGCGATTCTCGTATAGCGGACGACTTTTGTGATTCTGGTGACCAATATTTTATACCAGTGAGATTTTAGGGTAGTTTTTTTTCCGCACTCAGAAAAACTTTGCGCATATGTATGCAAAAAAATACTACTTTGCACACGCTCGTAGAAAAAATATATTTGGCGATGAATGAATAATATAGGTATTAGTACTGTGGTATCATATCATATGCCACAGAACTAAAGTACCCACGATAAATACAATATTTTTTTTGCATTACTATTAGGTAACCTGTTACGATTCAATGAGACAAATACCAGTTGGTAATTATGCATGTTTTTCTATAATTAAGTAACTTAGCAATTATCCGCTTCAATCCCTGAGGGACTAAAGCACGCGCATTAGTCCCAAACGTGCAAGAATTTTATGTTATGAAATTGTGAGTTTGAACTCGTCATCTCACTTCATAAAAGAAATTATTTTTGTTTTTCCCACGTTCTGCTCATTGAAGAGCTTCTCTTTTACGAAATCTATCTCCAGGTATACGAAATAATCTGGAATGCAGGCAAAAATGCTTGTTACTAATGACCACAGCATTGAGCTGTCACGAACAATAATAATTAATATCGTAAATTGACACATTTGCTGTGTATGGCCATGCTCGGTATACTCGACAAAAGCCACAAAAACTGGTTTACAAAACTATAAGGTGCAATTTGTATCGCCTTTTTTTCTGCAATTAAAATGTAAGACTCAGTATACTTAATGTATAATGTGTAATTACAAGTTATGAGGCGATTCGCAGAAGCTCCAGAAAATGTGATCAGAGGAACAATTTCTAAATAAAAATTAATGAAAGGATTGTGGAGAACTTTGTCATTTTTGAATGCTTACTTAATTATCAATTATGCATGACTTTGAACGAGTAAGCGTGTGTAATAATTTCAATTCACAGTTGAAAAAATCTCAGTTTTTCACACCCAATCATTTTAGCTAGACTCAAACTGTACTGTGATGGATCGATGAAATCAGCGCTCCAGGTAGAATCTAAAAATGCAATAAAATACAGGGTGTCCTATTGAAAAAATTGAAAATGTTGCCCATAAGTATTTCTTGAGATGTTCAACTGTTTTTCTGTTGACTTATATGAAATCTACAGGAAAAAAATATAAAAAAACGATCCTTGAAAGAAAATTGAATACATAAAGAAGTTGAGTAGGGGTTCAAAATATACGTGAAGACCCTGTACTCGAACTCCAGAAATATTTTGGCACTCAATACAACAACTTTAATTTACAGCTTCGATAACAAACATGATTAAGTAAATGAAATGATATTAACCTCTTTTATTGAAACAACCTTCATAATTCGATACTGCATCATTTTATGCATATACGCAGCAATACCCAAATGGAATCAGCTTGAAAGCATGAATAATCAAATTCAAGAGTATAATGTACTTATTCCTCGCTACGAACAATGATGATTTTATTCATTTATTCATTCATTCATTCATTTATTTTTAATTTGATATGATTACATTGTTGAAATTTATACTTATAAAAGCGATCTGTAACTAAATATAATTGAGTGTACCTACGAATTTGATGTAGAAACTCAATATAGGTAATTATTTTAGTAATGGTGTAGAGTATAGGATGGATTCGGTTAATTGTATGCATTTGCTTCATGGTTTCTGAAATTACAATTGTAATAATATGAAATTTCAATAATTGATGATTACAGAACAATTCCGAACTCTGTATAATCTGTATTCAAGTATATCATCAGTATGATTGTCATATCAGTATCAGTTTGGATTGTCGGTTATTAATCGAGTTATTATTGCATTGCAGATTTGAACATCTATCACCTATTATTAAGATCCTATTATGTACACACTAGGTAGGTACTTACACGTATTATAAACATTACATTCGTAACGAGGGTTAAAAGTTCTGAAATGACTCGATCTTTACTTGATGCAAATTCATGACAAATGTAAAAACTTCACAAACGATAAGATTTTCACGAAATTATCGAACACACAACGTGTTTCGCTAACACAGTAGCTTGCAGCATATTATAATAGTATGATACATAGGCTAGTAAATGTCCCTCTTACAGAAGTAAATTTCAATAAAGAACTCAATATCATAAAACAGATTGCAGTCAACAACGGATACAACGTTAATTTGATAGACTGAGAAACTACATAATAAAGCTATTCAAGAAGTTTATATCATATCAAGAATATTAATCAAAATTATAGAACTTTAACCTATTTCGGATCATCAACGAAAAAATTAGCTTCACTCCTACATAAACAAGACTTGAAAGTAGCATATAGAACAAGTTGGGAAGGTTTATCAAAAATAATAAAGATAAA